GCGGAGTAACGTGTTACAGATAACGTGTTGGCATTATTAGACTCCCCAAAGGTTTTAGTTATCCTGTACTATTACTCTATTGTTGCCATAATCTGATTACCATTGCTTAGTGTGTGCCCTGTGATTACTTTCCTCCCCAAAAAACTAGTGGAATTGGGAACTTGTCATGTCAGCAGCTTCAGTTCATGTGAGAGCAGCAGCAGCCAATATGTACGCAGTGGATTATACCACACAGCTTGCTTGTGTTGTTATATCGGAGTTTAAAGAAAGCTGGCATGTGTTAAATTTAATGAAAACTCCCCCCAAAAAATCTGTGATTTCAAACTTCTCTTGGGTGCCTTCGCCCGAGCGGAGGCCACACATCCCGGTTGTTGCTCGAACTGTGATGACATTCTGATGAAGGTGGTGTCCCTGACGCTCATGCAAGCTGATTTTTCTGCCACCCCCTGCGGATCCCCAGCAAGGCACTGCCAGCGTGAGATAAGGGGACACAGGGAGAGGTGTGACTTGTGGCCTGCCGTGCCACGCTGGAAGCCAGCACGGCCACAGACGCGAGCTGTAATATTATTTAGCCAATGGAGGACGTGAAGGTTGCGTTGGCCTTCTTGACAGTTGATGCCATCGATGTCCTTCATTGGGCCTCTGGGTCAGTAGGAGCAGCTGTGGTGATGCAGCACACTTTGTGGCAGAGGAGGCCACGCACGGATGGTCTTGTCGGTGATTAATGCCTTTTGTGCTTCTGCCATTGTTTGAGGGGAGCCGGCTACTTTTGGAAAAGATTTTCAGATTCAACTCGACAAGCTCGAAGACGAGGGCGTCTTTCTCTACTTGGGGTTCCTTTGAATTAATAGGAGGAGAGGTACTTGAAGCTTGGAGTCCTTCGCTAACTTTTCAAACTGTAATTCCAGAAGGGCACTTTCCTGAGAGGAAACAGGGGCAGGAGCAGAGGGAAGCCTCAGGGAGAGGGCTGCGGACAGGGCAGACCAAAACGTACACCAGGGGTCGGCAACCAAAATAACAAAGAGCCATTTTTTTTCGAATTTGGTAAAAACCCGTATTTCAAGAGCCGACATGCATGTGAGTACGAGACCGCGGTCCTTAATTTAAAACGTCACAAAACAGTCCTTAAAGGGCCACATGCGGCTCCGGTGCCACAAGTTGCCAACCCCTGACCTAGGTGACGGGCCATCAGGAGCCCCGGGTGTGGATGCAGGGGCGGTCCTGAGGCATTTTGCAGAGGCATGGTACCAGATGACCTCAGTTCTGTGAGTCTGGGATGTGGTGCGGAATGGTTTTAAGTTGTCGTGCAGAGCTTCAGAACCAAGAAGAAGAGCGGTGAAATCGGAGCTCCCCGTGGAGGCTTCTGGAAATTGAGGCTGGCTTGGTTGTTCCTGAATCATAACAGGGTTAGAACATCTCTTAGAGATCACGGGTGTTTCAGAAGACATCCAGGCTATTCTAAGCCATTCTGGGCATAAGAGCCCTAAACAAAATTAATTCGCCAACAAAGGTTCAAGATGGAGTCATTGGATTCCATCACTGGAACGATGTGGAGGGGCGACTGTTTTCTTGGTGGATTTCAAGGGACGCCTGCCCGCACCTAACGGTTTCGGAGGGTAACAGACATTATCGGTACTTTGCACTGTTGGATCACCACCTCCATTTCAGTGTTGTACCATTCGGGCTCAGATGGTCACCAAGCAAATTTACAAAGGTCTCGGTGAACATAATTGGGAGTCTCGGGAACCATAAAGTGAATGTGTGTGTTGAATGGTCAATCTGCTAATCAGAGTAGCATCTTGGCCAGATGTAGGAAGAATGGAATAGCCTGCGTATAACAAGATAAACCGCATACAAGAAGTGGTCAGGTCACTCAAAACTCAAGAGCTTAAACCACTGAGAGCCCTGGTTTGAATCCAGGCAGCCACCTCTGATTAAACCGGGATATCAAGTGGAGTTAGTTGATGTTCTTTGCCCAAACCACCAATGGCTGCATAGAAAAACCCATCACATTCAAATTGGTTCTTTGCTTGATTTCGCTAAACTATATTGGGTTTGGTGGTGCTCGAGGCTCACGCACAGGCATGTATGTACCTGCTGGGCTCAAGTAATAACAACTGATGGTAAGAACTGTCAGAGCCTTTACAATACCTGCACCCTGGTTTATAAAAGACCACGCACATAATGGCTAATGTAAGTCTCATCTGCAGATCATACTTGACAAAATGTGAGATGAGGGCATTGGTAGGAACAATATCTATATGGTGAGTTTATCAGTACTTTCACCTTTAAAGTGAGTGGTGCCAATGTTACCGGAAGAAGTGTCCTACAGTACTTTAAAAGGACAAATATACAGTATTGTATGTTTTTAAGAATATGAACATTGTAACTGTGGCTGTCAAATATATGTGGAAATTTTAATGCAAAAGTATAATTGTTTCTATATATAATTCATTAAATGTTTGAATGTGATATGGACTGTAAAACCAGAAGCATATCTGGTCCACTCTTGCACAAAGGCGGTGTGCCATTTACACATTTCCGCATGCTATTTAAAGCACAGCACAACTCAAAAGTACGTCGGAGAATTACACCGCTTAAACTTACACAGCAGTACTCGCTTATTCAACCCCAGGGGAAGTGATGGGCGGATTCTTCCCCTAACCAGGATTTGAACCTGAGCCGTTCCAAATGCTGTGTACGGTTACAGTTGAGCGCCGTAACCATATTGAGCATCAGCAGGCCACATAACGCCAGTGCCGCTTACAGTGGGGGAAAAAAGTATTTGATCCCCTGTTGATTTTGTACCTCTGCCCACTGACAAAGAAACGATCAGTCTATAATTTTAATGGTAGGTTTATTTGAACAGTGAGAGACAGAATAACAACAAAAAAATCCAGAAAAACGCATGTCAAAAATGTTATGAATTGATTTGCATTTTAATGGGGGAAATAAGTATTTGACCCCTCTGCAAAACATGACTTAGTACTTTGTGGCAAAACCCTTGTTGGCAATCACAGAGGTCAGACGTTTCTTGTAGTTGGCCACCAGGTTTGCACACATCTCAGGAGGGATTTTGTCCCACTCCTCTTTGCAGATCTTCTCCAAGTCATTAAGGTTTCGAGGCTGACGTTTGGCAACTCGAACCGTCACCTCCCTCCACAGATTTTCTATGGGATTAAGGTCTGGAGACTGGCTAGGCCACTCCAGGACCTTAATGTGCTTCTTCTTGAGCCACTCCTTTGTTGCCTTGGCCGTGTGTTTTGGGTCATTGTCATGCTGGAATACCCATCCACGACCCATTTTCAATGCCCTTGCTGAGGGAAGGAGGTTCTCACCCAAGATTTGACGGTACATGGCCCCGTCCATCGTCCCTTTGATGCGGTGAAGTTGTCCTGTCCCCTTAGCAGAAAAACACCCCCAAAGCATAATGTTTCCACCTTCATGTTTGACGGTGGGGATGGTGTTCTTGGGGTCATAGGCAGCATTCCTCCTCCTCCAAACACGGCGAGTTGAGTTGATGCCAAAGAGCTCCATTTTGGTCTCATCTGACCACAACATTTTCACCCAGTTGTCCTCTGAATCATTCAGATGTTCATTGGCAAACTTCAGACGGGCATGTATATTTGCTTTCTTGAGCAGGGGGACCTTGCGGGTGCTGCAGAAGTTCAGTCCTTCACGGCGTAGTGTGTTACCAATTGTTTTCTTGGTGACTATTGTCCCAGCTGCCTTGAGATCATTGACAAGATCCTCCCGTGTAGTTCTGGGCTGATTCCTCACCATTCTCATGATCATTGCAACTCCACGAGGTGAGATTTTGCATGGAGCCCCAGGCCGAGGGAGATTGACAGTTATTTTGTGTTTCTTCCATTTGCGAATAATCGCACCAACTGTTGCCACCTTCTCACCAAGCTGCTTGGCAATGGTCTTGTAGCCCATTCCAGCCTTGTGTAGGTCTACAATCTTGTCCCTGACGTCCTTGGAGAGCTCTTTGGTCTTGGCCATGGTGGAGAGTTTGGAATCTGATTGATTGATTGCTTCTGTGGACAGGTGTCTTTTATACAGGTAACAAGCTGAGATTAGGAGCACTCCCTTTAAGAGTGAGAGGGGGTCAAATACTTATTTCCCTCTTTCAAATTCAAATCAATTTATAACATTTTTGACATGCGTTTTTCTGGATTTTTGTTGTTATTCTGTCTCTCACTGTTCAAATAAACCTACCATTCAAATTATAAACTGATCATTTCTTTGTCAGTGGGCAAACGTACAAAATCAGCAGGGGATCAAATACTTTTTTCCCTCACTGTATGCTGTACGTGGATCGCGCTGCCGCCGCTGCTGCTGTCACCGCTGCTGCTGCTGTCACCGCTGCTGCTGTCACCGCTGCTGCCGCTGTCACCGCTGCTGCTGTCATCGCTGCTGCTGCTGTCATCGCTGCTGCTGTCACCGCTGCTGCTGCTGTCATCGCTGCTGCTGTCACCGCTGCTGCTGCTGTCATCGCTGCTGCTGCTGTCATCGCTGCTGCTGTCACCGCTGCTGCTGCTGTCATCGCTGCTGCTGTCACCGCTGCTGCTGCTGTCATCGCTGCTGCTGCTGTCACCGCTGCCGCTGTCACCGCTGCTGCCGCTGTCACCGCTGCTGCTGTCACCGCTGCTGCTGCTGTCACCGCTGCTGCTGCTGTCATCGCTGCTGCTGTCACTGCTGCTGCTGCTGTCACTGCTGCTGCTGTCACCACTGCTGCTGTCACCGCTGCTGCCACTGTCACCGCTGCCGCTGCCACCGCTGCTGCTGCTGTCACAGCTGCTGCTGCTGCCACCGCTGCTGCTGCTGTCACCGCTGCTGCTGCTGTCACCGCTGCTGCCGCTGCCACCGCTGCTGCCGCTGCCACCGCTGCCGCTGCCACCGCTGCTGCCGCTGTCACCGCTGCTGCTGTCACCGCTGCTGCTGCTGCCACCGCTTCTGCTGCTGCTTCTAATTCCAGGATGTTGCCCTTGCCGTAGGGTTGCTGGCCGGGACCCTGGACACTTCGTCTAGCGGGAAAGCGGCCCCCTACCGCATCCTCTACCAGAGCCACTCTCAGCCCTGCTGGTCCATAGCCACAGGTGAGGCAGTGTGAATCTGGAGTCTCACCACCGCTTGTGATCCTGTACTTGGGTTTAAAATAGATATTGTTATAATTTTCATCCCTTTTGTTGATCGTGGTGCGGTATGTAAATGTACTGGGGTGTTGTTCAAAATTGTCAACAGCTTCGAACATATTCACCGGTAAAGAGGGGCTCTCTAGAGCTCAAACGAGTGGAGGTCCTTTTACCGGTACATTAGTGGCATGTACATGCGTTGTGTCGAGGCTGCAACCTCTACCTGAACCTCGCATTATTTGGTGATGCTGCTGCAGTGTCAGTGGCGTGCCAGCACAATTAACAACTCGACACATTAATCAATAACACTGCCTTAAATAGAAAAAGTATACAACAGGCAACGTTTAAGACGATAACCCTTCTTCACAGCACATAGTGGATAAGAGTTGGTGACCTGGTAATAATCTCCATATATATAAAAGGAAAAGTTGTGCATATGTATTTCTGTTCAAAAAATCGAACCCGGCGACCCGAGTTCGATTCCCGTTCACGGCCACCACCGGTGATGATTATTTCAACCACTCCTGGGCCTCCCCTAGGTCGACTCAGCCTCAAACAAGTAACTACTGTGGTGTGTGAACATCGCCACTGGGGAGACAAAGGTGGTCGGGCATGGTGGATCCAAGTCCCGGACGAAGCCGGGCAGTACAGCTAGTTATATTATAAAAATAAAATTCCTGATGAACCATTTTTACATCACCAACTTAGTGATGCATTTGCTGGGTTACAGGTTACTAATGCACCCATCCCCCACCTCTCCTGCCCAGTAAGCTAAGGCAGACGTAGATTCTCACCAATTTAGTTTTAGCAACATTTATTGTGTTTGTAACGCATACCTGGGGCTTAAACCCACTCTCAGTCTAGCATCCGGCTCCCGGGTAAATGTTGATGTTGAGTAATCCCTGAGCGTTTGTATTGTTCTTGTGCCTTTGCTTGCTGGGAATGGTGGCCTATTCCTATTGGAGGTGAGGTTGGTGGATGATCCATAAATTGTCAGACTCCCAGCCTCTGCACGTCAATACTCTTTGGTTCTATTCGGTAAAGTCACGTAGGTAAAAAATAAAAAACAACAATCCTTGCAGTCACGAAAGCTTCAAATCTATAATCTGCACGTCTACTTTGTGGTCAGTACGGCCACTGTTACTGCCCTGTCTGTGATCAATTCCAAGTGTCATCATCCCCTCGTGTGACTTACTATTTTGCCTCCGCTGGTTTTGTCTCGCACGCAAAATACTCTGTAAAGAATTGGACAAATATCCTGGGCAGAATACGGATGAAAGATTCTTGAGACTCAACGAGGCTCTCGTAAATAAAGGTCACTATTCTCGCAAAAAAATCCTTACAAGTGTATATATTTTACATAGTGGAAAGTGATGGGTAAGTGGTTAGCGCACTTTGCTCGGAACCTGCTGACCTGAATTCGATTTCTGGCCACGGCTGACGTCGGTGGCGAATTACCTGGACTGGTAATGGCGTAGTCGTGGACGGACGAAGGGCTGTGGAAACAAATCTGAGGCTAACGAGAACAGCATTGCCTACAATGGATGGCATGACCTAAAATGTTAGTCTGCTATTTCTGTTCATGTAGGCACTGGCAAGGATGGTTGTCCTTTTTTTTTCCCCCGCTGCTGATATAGTCTCTAAATGCTAGGATTAAAAAAAAAACATCTATTGCTCTATATTGTATATGATTAAGTTGTTTTTAACAACCCAAAATATGCACTTTACTAAAAGAACAATCATATGACCCCAAAGTAACATTTAAATTTATATTAGTCACATGGAAAATATCATAAAAACATACTTCCCCATGCCAAACCACATTTCCGACATTCATAAAGTATGCATGCTTTTCTGCATTTAACAACACCACACTACATATACTGTACCCATGCTTGTAATTGTGGGTCTCATCGGAACTTCATTGGGATAATTCGACAACTGCAAATATCGACCTTATTGGTTCCCGCCTGCCCACCGGCATGAAGCTAATCGTTGCAACCCACTGTATGTGCCAAGCATTGGCTGCTGGTAAAGGTGCCCATTCATTGGCATTCGGTTGCTGGGCGTACCACGTGCTCGGAGGCTTGTTGTGGTTTTGGAAAGAGTCACCCGCCATCGAGTTATCCCCTTTCTGGATCTTGCCGTGGTAGTGCCCTCCCGCCCGACGCCTTTTTGCCGAACAGAATTATGTCGAACCGCACCTCCGATTTACCACGGTTGGCTACGTACGGTGGACATACATACGAACCAACGTGTGCTGCATTGCTCTCAAAGGACTGGGGAGACGAGGTGGGAAAGAATTGCACTCCTTTAGTGGAGTACCCATACTGCTGCATTAAAAGTCAAAGGTGATGTTTTGGGCAATGGTTATTATTCACAGCATATAGGGAGGCCAGGGAGGAAAAGAGAGATCGACCCTGCTGTACTACTGTTGACTGTTAAGAAAATTAAGTGGGCACGGCCAGGGCCCATTGTCAGAAAGGACGATGGGCGCTGATGCACGAGACAGGTGGGGAAATGGCAGCAAGATGTATTCCCTGTTGTTGAATCGTGTAAGTTGTGGTACCGACAAGTGGGCTGTTTGGCAGACTGAATGAAGCAGGGTTTTATTTACAGCCATTACAAGTCGAACTCTGTTTTAATTTTAGAGTCCATAGTGAGCTCAAACCGCAAGCATGGACGATTACCAGCACTATTACTGGCAGCCCTGATGAAAATTCAACATTTAGTTAGCCGAAGCCAGCTCGACCTGTAGGATAACCACAGTAGACTTGGCACTGATTAGTACTTGTTTTATCGACCCATTGGGGATGATAAGCGGAGTCCACCATTGACCAGGAAGTGACTTCATAATCATCCGATTGGATGTTGAGCGCTCGAACCACAGTGCCACTCACTTAACAGGTGCTTAAGGCAGCTGTATTGAGAGTAATTCAATATTTTTGTTTACGTTAATTACAAAACATCCATTTAAAGTAACTTAAAAAAAATATCTAATTAATACGCACTCAATCCACTCCCAATGTAATGGGATCTTTCCATCTCTGGAAATAGTGTTTACGAGCTATCAAGTGTCTGAGATGAGATTTGAACCTCGCAAAAGCCGAGTAGTTACGAGGCCACCTGTGTGCAGCAGATACAAAAAAAACAGCCCATTGACCAGAACTGGAGCGGACTGACACATACGGTCATTGCAGTTACTGGGTAAGAATTGTATGATGTACATGATCATCATCAATGGTGCATCCACAGCTGAATGAAGGCTTCCCCATGCCTTCGCCATTCCTTACAGTCATGAGATGTCACAATCCGTCTGCCTCACACACGCGAGCTCATCTCATCACTCCTCCTCTGCAGCATTCTCCCTCCCGGGAATGATCTCTCTATTGACTGCCGTTCTGTCACCAGTCTCATCCATCGACCATCATCCAATTCTGGTCCTGCTCAAGCCCACTTCTTTTCCTCTGCCGTCAATATTATGTCTGTAATTTGCGCGTATTCCCTGTTCCATCTGTCCCTCTGTCAGTCGATGTACTTCCAAATATGCATCTCCCCATGTTTCTTTTGGTACTTTTCATGTTTTTATCCATTTTCTTTGTCAATGTGCATGTTATTGATCCATATGTCACTGTGGGTAATGTGCACTGATTGAAACCTTTTTTGTCGGCACATCGGAACGTTGATTTTCCAAAAGCACATCCATCCAATCGTTACCACAACATTACATCATCACCATCTTTCTTCAGTTCGATTATGTAACTGTTACACAGTCGGCACCTGACCTTGAGAACTTTCCTTAGAGCATGAACAAGGGAAAATAAAGCACCATTGTGGCTAGGAGATGTTAACTTCCTCACCTGGTCTACAGGAGGTCGTGGGTTCGATCTCGACGCTGATGCCTGCTGTATATTTGGAGTTTGCATGTTCTCCCCGCGAGATGTTAACTTCCTCACCTGGTCTACAGGAGGTCGTGGGTTTGATCTCGACGCTGATGCCTGCTGTATATTTGGAGTTTGCACGTTCTCCCCGTGGTCGTGCAGATTTTTCTCCAGGTCCTCCGGGTTTTCCCTCTACATTTAGAATCAACGTGCGTTTAGAGAATTTGACTGCTATAAATTTCCACATGATAAGCCGCGATGTTGAGCTATCATTTGTGGCCAGGTCGCTGATGACAAAAAGCTGTATGGCTCAGTGGGCCTTACCTGGTAAAATAAAAATTGTTTATTCTAGATTTGAAGCTTTCGTGACTGCAAGGATTCATACTCCTTGGTTTTTTCGGTAAAGTCACGTAGGTAAAATAAAAATAAAATAATATCATAATAAAACTAAATTAAATCACGACGTTTCGGAGGCAACACAAGCTTCCGTCTTCAGGTGGAACAGTCACAGCAAGATAGCTGCATCAGGTGAGGAGCTCTGAGACACTCGATCTTATATACAGGTTAAGGGGGGGGGAGGAGCCAGGCCGGGGATGATGATGAGGTGTGGGGCGAAGTTAATCCGTCTTTTGTTATGCTGAGGGTTTGGGGGATGCGGTGGTTCACTGCACGAGGGCAATGGAAAAAAGGCTGTGCACTTATAAGGCAGCTAAAGTTTAGACTTGGTTTATGACATCCCTCCAGTGGTTGCTTAATTTAAAACCATCTTCTTGGTTGAAGTTGTGTCTATGTTTGTATATCTGGATGGCTTCATGGACAAATCTTTGGTAATAACCGGGAGGTTTGCATAGTACTTTGGTATCGGATAAAACAATGTCAGAACCCGCTGTGTTGAGACAATGATCAGCTACGGCCGAAGAATTCGTTCTGCCGTGTTTCAAATCTGATTTGTGTTCGCGAATTCGGTCAGAAATATGTCGTTTCGTCTCCCCGATATAGCAGTCACCGCAGATACAACTCAGTTTGTAAACACCGGGGTACTGTAAGTCAGGAATGACATCCTTTACGGATGGGATCAGATCA